AAGGATAGATGCTGACACTGGAGGATAATAAAATCACTTTAAATGGCAATACTCCTAACTGCAAACAAAGCACAGAAGGCAGAAGAGAGATGATAATGCACCCAGGCACAGGGATGGCATAAAACTGAATGTTGAGTATTTTTTCACTCTATTCCTTTATGTGACTCCAGATGTCTGGCAGAATTTGGGGTGCATCCCTCTCCTGTTCTTCCTTTTGGAATCCTGTGTAGATGGGACAACACAGGCTGTGGTTTCTGTATGGACACTTGGGTGAACTAGCCACAGTCACATGCTAAGGATTTAAAATTCTGTATTTAAAGAGAATGAGTTATGAAAATTATATTGATGAATAATTACTGAGAGAGCAAGAGATACATTAAATGGGACAGACATATACACACCCAGTTTGAGCAATGTAAAGAACAGCAGAATGTACATACAGCTCTTCCCTCTCTGCATCCACACCCAAGCCAGGTGGTGCCACATTTCACACCGAAGGCCACTGAGGGACCTGGCTTAAGGTGACACTAAAAGCCAGAGTCCCTGGGATGATGCAGTGCCAGGGGAGCAGGGCACAGCAGCTCAGACTGAGCAGCAGCCCCACGGCCTTGCAGGAGCAGACACTGCCCAGGATCCCTCCAGAGCCTCTCACGTGCACCAGGGCAGTGAATTCTGCCTGGGCAAGGACACTTGACATTGCAGAGTTACTAAATTCACCATCACACACTGCAATGATGGCACTCGGGTGTGCCAGGAGTGCTGAGCTGCTGGGAATATCCCAGCCCCAACACCTGCATTCTGTCAGGTTATTCCCTCTGATACACTTCTGCTGCCAGTCCAGTTTTGGGGGGGGTTGACATGTTTCTGAATTTCTTTTAATATTGATTAATATTTTAATATTGAAAGTCTACTTAGCACAACATTTAGCCTTAACCCTTCCACATTTCCACATTAAGAAAATAGTGTATAATCTTATAGTTCAACTATTTTTCCATTTTCTGATGAACATTATCCATTCCATGCATAGAACAAGACAACTTTTTAGCTTTTGCATTCCCTAACAAAAAAAAAATAGCAATTTGGACAGCTGTAGTACCTGTTGTCATGCTCAATCACCTACACAAAATGCTACTTCTCCAAATGTATGATCATGTTTTCACCTGAGAAATGTTGGTGAGATATATTTGATGAACAGAATTTCTGCATGACAAAATACCAATTGTACAAAACCCTCCGATGCCTGCACAGGGGTTGGAGAGTTCCTCTAGCAATTGCTACCTGCACATGGAAATAGGAGCTTGGATTTGATGAGTTTTTCTTTCTGCTTTCATTTTTGAGCATTGGGTCAGCGAATTGGCACGTGATTTCAACATTGTGGCTGGCAAAATACAGAGAGGGAGATGAGAGCCCTCAAAGGCTGCATTTTCAGCCTAAAGTACATTATATGGTACATCTGAACATTTTTAGAGGCTGACTGACCTCAGGAAGACAACTTTGGTGCAGTCACTCTCCCTTCTTCTGAGCATGTTCCTTATTTCCTTACGGGTTTTGCAGGAATATGCTACACATGAGATTGGAAGTTTTGGTTTTGTCTATTTAAAGTCATGAGAGCCCATAAAGACTTCAAAAGAAACTCCTGAGATTCTCATGTTCTATAGATTCTCCAAACTAACCCTCAGCTGGATAATCTGAGGAGCAGCACAATAATCACCATGAATAAAATGCCAGAATCTAACTTTAACTTACTCTGGAGCAATCAAACATCACAAAAATCCAAACCTATTCAGGATTAGAGATCATTTAAATGGCTTTGATTAATGTTTAGAGACATAATTTGTATTGTATCAAAGGTAGGTAATGACATTTGCTGTGTTATTTAGTGTACAGTTTCCTTTTTCAGGACTCCTTATATACTGTCCCCTGCCTTCAGACACACTGCTCTGTTTTTGTGTTTGGTGCTAATGGAGCTGTTGTACAGTGTCCACAGCAACCCATATTTTCATTATAAATGCATTAAGAAAGAAATTAATCTGTGTTCTTTGAGTGTGATTTGTGTACTTAACCCCTTTGGTTGAAAATGCAAGGCTAAACAAATCATCTTGGGCAGAACCTGTACTGAAAATTCTGGTACTGAATGGCTTTGCCTAGAAGGACATGAAATCAAATTTCACAGGCGTAAGAACAGCAAAATTAGCAAAACCTAATCTGTCCAGACTTCTTTACCATTTATATCTCCTCGTTATTTGACTTCTGCCTCTTATCCACGACAGTCTCTGACAATGGACTCAAGGTGCAATTTCCAAAACTTTAACACACAGCCTCCAGCTCAGACTTGATAAACAGGACCTCTACTGCCTGTCAGTACTTCTGAATAATCTCATCTTCCATCTAATTTACATCAGACTGATTTTTTCCCCCCACAATTCAAAGAAGACAGACGTTGGTAGTTTATGAATTATGATAAGATTGGGTTTTGGTCCCTTAGTGAAAGTTGCCTTGGAAAGAAATAGCATTTCTTGTCACCGTGTCTGCTTTTTCTTATAAATGAGATGAATTGTCTCCATTATCTACAAATTCAAGATACAGGACATAAATGTTTGATAGCTGCTGTGTTTTACTGTCAACTGCTGGATTCTTATATTTAAACTCATCCAAGTATTTGTAGTGTCTAGTGAAATCTACAATCAAGCAGAAGAGACTAAAGCAGTTACACATTTTTAAATGAGTTTTTCAGGGAGAAATGCTTCTTTACACTCTTGTGGGAAAAATTACATTGAAATTGCATCAATGCGATATCCTCTTTTTGCTTTTTCTACATTTGAATTAGCTGCTACTGAGAATAAAACCATGTAAACCATGACAGCACAAAGCACACTCCTGACAAAGTTCTTTGCAGTGGAAATCTCTCTCCCTGGAAATCTCTGTGTTAAGGAACTCTTTCCTCACTTGGCTCATCAAACCAGGGACGAACAATAAGCTTTTTAGAATCTGCCAAAATAGGCTTGTTTAGGGTAGTATCTACTAATAAACTTAGACACCTTTTTCAGGAACTGGCTGCAAATAGAGCCTCGATTTTGGCCAGCTACAGGGGAATGGCTGCACTTGTCTAAAGATCAGAGCCTGATTTCTCAGGATAAAACCAGCAGATTGTGGAATAAGCCATCATTTAAAGGGGTTGCTTTGTCATAGAGTGTTCGTGGAGGGTTTTTTCCCCCGCTTAGGTGATTTCTGCCCTCAATCTATTTCAAATACTCACTACTTGATACCAACCCGCCCCTTGCTTGCTGTGTGCTACAGCTGTAGTAAATATTATTGAAAGTGTGTTTACTGTCGGGCCACAAGTATTTACATTTTTTGCCACAAGAAGGAAGGAAAGAGACGCCAGCTATCCAGGATGCCCAGGGGAAAGAAAGCATCAGAACGAAAGGAATAGAGATGAAACGTCTGCATGTGAATTATGTTTGGAGGATGGGGGTGAGAACGCGTAAAAGAGGCAAAGCAAGAGGGTGAGGAGGGGGTGGCGGGGTCCGGTGAAACTCAGGTGGGCTTGAGGTGGGGAAACGCGGGTGGGGCGGCCACGGGCGGGTCCGGCTGGGACGGACACGAGTGGGACGGACCCCGGTGTTTGGCGGTGGGTTTCCACCGCGGGTGCAGAGGAAGGCGCACAGGGCAGTCTCGTTTTTTGACAGCGCTCTTCTCCTGCGCTTTGCCGCTTTCACCGTGCGCTGCTGCCCGGCGGGAGCGCCGCGGCTGAACCGCTCCGTCCGTCCCTCCATCGCTCCGCTCCGCTCATCGCTGCGCTCCGTCCGTCCCTCCTCTCCGTCTGTCCCTCCTGCTCTCTGCTCCGCTCATCCCTGAGCTCCGTCCCTCCTGCTCTGCGCTCCGTCCGTCCCTGCGCTCCGTCTGTCCCTCCGCTCCGTCCATGCTCCCCTCCGTCCATCCCTGCGCTCCGTCCATCGCTCCGCTCCGTCCGTCCCTGCGCTCCGTCTGTCCCTCCGCTCCGTCCATCCTCCCCTGCGTCCATCCCTCTGCTCCGTCTGTCCCTCCTGCTCTGCGCTCCGCTCATCCCTGCGCTCCGTCCATCCTCCGCTCCGCTCATCCCTGCGCTCCGTCCGTCCCTCCGCTCCGTCCATCCTCCCCTGCGTCCATCCCTGCGCTCCGTCCGTCCCTCCACTCCGTCCGTCCCTCCTGCTCTCCGCTCCGCTCATCCCTGAGCTCCGTCCATCCCTGCGCTCCGTCCATCCCTGCGCTCCGTCCGTCCCCTCCGCTGCGTCCATCGCTCCTCTCTCTCCATCGCTCCGCTCCCTCCATCGCTCCGCTCCGCTCATCCCTGCGCTCCGTCCATCCCCTCCGCTCCGCTCCCGCACCGGGGCTCCCCTCGCTGCCGTGCCCGCTGCCCGGAGCCCCTCTCACCCTCCGAGCCCCTCTCACCCTCCGAGCCCTCCGCCCTGAGCCGCAGCCTCCCCGCCCCACCCGCGGGTCCCGCTCCATCGCCGCCTCAGCCCCGAGTCCCCCCACGCCCCTGAGGGTGGGGCTCGGCGGTGCCCCCTCCCTCCATCCCTCCATCCATCCCTCCCTCCCTCCCTCCCGGCAGGGAAAAGTGTCTGAGCGCGCCCGGCCCCTCACACCGCCGGGAGAGCGGCGGAGGGCGCTGGGGCGGGCGCGGCCGGACAGCGGCCGTGAGGACGCGCCCGCCGCGCCGCTCCGCGCCCCGTCCCTCCCGGTGCCGGGGCGCTGCCAAACTTCAGCCCGGGGGGCGGCGGGGCGGCAGCGGGGGCCGTGCCCGGGCCGTGCCCGGTGAGGCGGCGGGGGCCGTGCCCGGGCCGTGCCCGGTGAGGCAGCGGGGGCCGTGCCCGGTGAGGCGGCGGGGGCCGTGCCCGGTGAGGCAGCGCGGGCCGTGCCCGGGCCGTGCCCGGTGAGGCGGCGCGGGCCATGGCGCGGCCGGCGGGCGCGCGGAGCTGAGGGCGGAGCGGCCCCGGAGCCCCGCGGCCGGGCGCGGCGGCGCTCGGCATGGCGCGGGCGGCCCGGCTGCTGCTCGGAGCGCTGCTCTGCGGAGGTAAGGGGCGCCGCGGGCACCAGTTGATCGCGCACGGGCGGCTCCGAGTCCTTCCCCAGCCCGGAGTGCCCTGCCAGCCGTGTGAGCCCAGCTACCCCTTCCTCCTCTTCTTCCCCCTGCCTTCTCCTTTCCCTTCTGCCTCTCCCCGGTTATGTGAACTCAGCTACCCCTTCCTCCTCTTCTTCCCCCTGCCTTTTCCTTTCCCTTCTGCCTCTCCCCGGTTATGTGAACTCAGCTACCCCTTCCTCCTCTTCTTCCCCCTGCCTTTTCCTTTCCCTTCTGCCTCTCCGCTGCTTTCTCGCTCCCCGCTTGTGTGAACTGAGCTACCCCTTCCTCCTCTTCTCTCCTGCCTTTTCCTTTCGGTCCTGCCTGTCTCTGCTGCTTTCTCTCTCCCCGGTTATATGAACTCAGCTACCCCTTCCTCCTCTTCTTCCCTCCTGTCTGTCCCTGCTGCTTTTTCTCTCTCCCCGGTTCTGTGAATGGTGGGCAACCCTGCGAGCTCGCGTTTGTCTGCGATGAGGAACGGGCAAAGTTTACTTTCGTCTTTGACCATGATGGTTTTGCAGATGCGTGTTAATTACTGCGTTGTGTTAACTGCGTTCTCTGTGGGAGGGGGGTCCCAGCGCCTGCTTGGAGCGGAATTTGGGCAGCGCTGAAAGCTCCGAGAGCAGCACGGTGACAGCGTTTGGGAATAGCGTCCTTTCAATTCTCTTGGAATTGTGCGGTGGTAGCTCCGGAGCCTGGATGGAAGAGCTGTCACCTGGGCTGGACCAGATGCAAAGGGACAGCTGAGGAACAGGTTTGGCTTAGCAGAGAGGTCATTTGAATGATCTGCTGGTTTTTCTCATCGCTGAACTTCTGTGATCAGAGTTCCTTTGACAAAGGGAAATCTCTTCTGAAGTGCCTCGGGGATGCAAGCAGTGCGTGCTCCCAAGGGGGATTTCTGTGCAGAACAGTAGGTGACTGCCGTGTCTCAACACTTCTTGTTTTATTGCTCAGAAGAAACACGCTGGTTGTGGATGCTTTGTTAAACCATGCCCTCCTCCCCGTCTGGGTGGGAGGGTGTGGAAACTTCCTAAGCTAGCCGCAATGCCTGCTTCTGTTGCCATTCCTAGGAATGAAACCATGATTTTGCCCTTTATCCTGCTGGTATTAGTGGTGCTCTTTGTGGTAAAACGATTATTCCTAAAGACTCCTCATTGTTTAGCTCGGTCCAGCCCTGCCAGGCTCTCTCCCAGGGCAGTTGATTGCGGAGGCAGCCGTGAGAGATACGGGAATATCTCAAGGGTGAAGCAAGAGCGGCATCGGGAGCAATTCATAAATGGACTTTTCCCACCCCAGTCGGCAGGGAAAACAAAGTACTTGGCAGAAAATTGCATGGCCTCTTAGTGCCGGTCATTTCAACGCGCATTAAAATGAATGGGCAGCGCGGTGCCTTGACGCGCTCTGATGTGCAGAGTCTAAAATGCAGGTTTCTGTTCTGGAGGTGAGAATGAGATCAGCCTGGTGCTCAGCTGCAGGGCCTGCACGGGATGAAGGTTTGTAAGCAGTGCCTGGCGTTTTGTGGGGATGCTCTGATGAGCGCATCCCCTGCAATGAGCTTGGGCTCAGCGTGCTGAGTTAGGCACCACTCCATGGCACTGCTCTGGGACAGCATTTGTACAGCAGAAACGGGGTATGATTCTTCCTAAAGGCGGGAGAAAGTTCTCCAGGGACAGTTTATAACCAACCCAACTCCTTAAGCCCTTTGTCCCTGCTGGAGCCCGGTGTCTCAGCCATGCAGGAGCCGGGAGTGGTGGCACTGCCAGCAGCTGCTGCTGGGGCTCTGCTCTGCAGAGGAAAACACGAAATATTACTTTCCTTCAGGGGAGAAAAGCAGAGCTGCTGAGCGGGGAATTGGCCTGGGCATTGTTGGGCGCTGTATGATTTAGAAAAGAGCCACTTAATTAAACTTATTTAATAAGGTGTTTGTATAGTTTCCTGTGGAGCCTTAATGAGCGTTTCATTTGCGCTCCCCTCGTGTATTTGCACTCTCTTTGTTGGTGTGTGAGGACAGTGATTGTTCTTGAGAGCTAAAGTCCAACTAAATGAAAGTCACTTTATAGCTCGCAAGCAAAAACGTTTGTAAATGTGCTGAGAAACTTACTGTTATGGACAAGTTGTCGTTTGCTATTTAAAGAGCCATATTTACTTCTCTAAGCTCATTAGCATCTCCTATCAGGCTTGAATTTCTAAGAAAATTCTCACGAAATGTTGCCTTAGGCCCCAGTGTGCCATTATGCTTGGGTTATTATCTGGCCAATAATGTTAATTCATTCAATCTCAAGCAAGAAGCTTGGCATTTAATTTGAGCCATGCCTCTAGTTAGACCAGGATGTATAAAAGTCAGTGTGCAAGAGTGCTCTTGCATTTAGGTGCAAGCACATGTTTTACATACCGATGATTGGATGTCTGCTCCTTAGGTGGAGAGGATGTGTGTGAAATTGTATTTACATAAGTAAATCCCAAGTGTATATATATTCCTTTCAGGAAATGACCTCTTTTCAGCAAAGTGCTAATGCATGTGCTTAAGCCCCTTTATAGCCTATAGGAGGTATTCATGAGCTTGAAGGAAGATTATTTATTTATTTTAATAGCTTTTCCGAGGCAGAGCATAAATGTGAACACACATGTACAGATTTACTGCATTTTGGAATGGATAGATAAGTGGGAATCTTCATTTGCTGTTAGCAGTGAGCTAGAGCAAGGCTCACAGAAATTGCAAGTACACTAAGCCCTAAAAAAGAGCATTTAAGGAGGCACAGCTAGAGAACTGATTTGTTTGCACAAGCATCTGTAAGTGCAAGAAAGTATTGAACAGGAGCAGCCGTTCAAGGTGAGTGGATTTAGCAGGATTTTAGGTACAGAAGCAGTGTTTGAGCCCAAATGCAAACACAGCTGTGCATCCACAGGTTGGCACAGCACCTGCCCGGGCTCTGCTCTGCCCTTCTCCGTCCCACAGCCCTGCAGCGTCCTTGCTTTTGTTAAACTGCAGTGGTCACTGATTGAGGCTGTTTATTTTCAATATTGTTTCATTCTCATTTTGAATTAATCAAGCAGCGAGGGTTTTTATATATCTGATTTTGGAAGTTCAGTAGCATGGCATACCCTACTGTTATGGAAAACTCAGTAAATTTCCTTTTTCTCAATTTCATCACGTTAGTACTAGCCAAGAGCACAGCAGGAGCTTGCATTATGTTAAATTATAGCTGCGTGCAGTTTTTATAAGTGGCTAATCTCTCTTCTGGATAGAACCCTTTCAAAATGGAGATAGTGCTATTAATATTCCACTTTACTTTGTTTTCATATTTGGTAGTAGATCAAAGTTTATGAGACACTGTACTTACCTAGTAAAACACCCAGCAGTTGTACTGCAAATGGTTGTTCAAAGCTGCTTCTAAGTGCATGACTGTGATATAAAATATCATCCCTGTAATCGCTCTTCTAATGCATAGATGTGTGTCTGGCTCTTGAATTGCAGAAGTAAATATCTGTGTAAAATGAAGTACTAAACAGCACAATGTCACGTTTTCTTAAATGGCCAAATATTAGTAAGTATTGAGAAATTCTATTCTATTCTGTTGAAGTTCAGCACTGCTGAAAAGGTGGCTTGTGAGGAATAGCCAGAAACTCTGTTAATAATGGCAAACTTGCCAGAAGAGTTGGAATACAAACTTTCCTGGTCAGAGTTTGGAAGGCAATGCCCCTCTGCAGTAAATTTTTGTTCCCAGGTGTGGCTGTGTCTATCTAAGACAGTTAAGTGACAAAAAAGTAAATTAAATCTTGCAATTTTCAGGGTGTGACCGTGCCATGAAAGAGGTGTCAGAGATTTCTGTGCAGAATCCCACTTTTCTCCAGGGCTTTGGTAAACTTGTTAATTTACTCAGAAGCTACATGCAAGTTTGTGCTGCCACAGTGTGATTTTGGCAGTGGTTCATACCTGGCAGGCACCACTAGATGTGCCCCAGCTATTCCCAGAGAGACAAAAAGCATATTGTGATAAAAGATGTAAAATGGCAACAAGCTGAGAGAACTGGGGTGTGAAGACAGTAATGGAGAACCATCCAGTAGGGATGTTGAAAGGGTAAACTGAGAATTTTGGGGAAAGCAAATGCATGTTTTGGGTGACTTGCAGTCGTACCTGTGCATCAGTTGGGAGCTGTTTCCTGTGCAGCAGGGAGAGCTGCCTGTACAAGGGAGGTGGCTTCAGTGCAGGGGAGGCTGTCAGCAGAGCTGGAGCTGGTCTCTGCTGCCAGGATTAGCACTGCCTTGCTGGTTTTGTCAATCATTTCTCTCTTTCTCTCTGTCTCTTACTCACTGTGATTGCCCCTTTGGTGAAACACTTGACTCTAGTTTGGCCACCTTGTCCGGTGGGGCTTTTTGGTTTGTTTACTATCCAAAAACTCCAGTGATAAAAATACAGGCACTATTTTGGGATGCTGTAAGGTGTGAGCTGAAGGTATTTGGCTGAAATTTGTTTTCCCTGTCCTTCATAGTCATTAGCAATAACTTTCTGGCCAGAAAACTTGTTTTTGTCTAGTTCAAACTCTTGTCCTGACTTGCTCTTGGCGGCCTGAGTCCTTTATATTTTATTCAGCCTTCCTTACAGACTCAGTACCCCGGCAAAACAGTTTCACAGTGTTCAGCTCTTCAAGCAGTTGTACTGTTTTGTGTTCTGTGGACTGGCTCAGGCTCTAGTGACAGATGTGACCCCTTTGAAACAGGGAGGGACAAATGGTGCATTCAAAGTTCAGAGCTTCTGCAGTCTCCTCACTGCGAGGTATCTGCCGAAAGCCTGCGGATGCATCTCGCTCTGGAAATCATTTCAGCCCAGCAGTGCCTGTGTTTTCGTTAGCAAATGGAAATGCTCTCTCTTTATCTATTTGTTCACATTTTTTTGGGTCAATACACAGCCTCAGGTCAGCATTTTTCTTTTCAGCTGTATCCAGTGAAATGACCCA